GGCTGGCGACTTTGTGGGTTATCTGCTCCACCTGGAGACAGAGTGCCAGGTGGAGGATAGACAGGGAACCCCCACCGTAACCCCTTCATGAGGGTCCTCCAATGCCCTGGTCCAGTACACTCTCCTTACCCAGCCACATCAGGACCTTGCAAGATGGGGTAGGAACAGTGTGGCCCTCTCCCACCTTTTCTCAGCTTCCTTTATCAAAAAGGCATCCAGAAGGCTGGGCATGGTGGTACACAGAGCACTCAGGAGGTGAAGGTGGGAAGATCAGGAGTTCAAGGTTATCTTCTGTGACAAAGCAAATTCAAGGCCAACCTGGAGAACTTGAGACCTGTCACAAACGAACATTGGCAGCAAAAAGGAAAATATTTCCCAGAGGCTCCGTTAATACAAGATTGTTTGATCTGGGATATGTATGGGAGATGGTATTCATGGGGACAGAAGCTGGAGCGGGTGGCAGAGAGGAGAAAGAAAGGACTCTTCCCTGTGGTACCACCACTGGGAAGAGCTAGGCTAATGTCCCATGTGTTGCAATTTACCAGCCCTAGGCACGAGGAGTGGGCTTGACACAGGAACCTCTCCCGAGCTGTCCAGAGCAGGATGAGCGCTCCAAGCTTTGCATCACACCAGGCGAGACTGGGGAAGCACTCAGGAGAAGCAGGGATACATGACCACCTCCACTGTCCCCATTTCTGGCACCCTGCACACTCGCAAACTTACACGCGAACTCACGCACATTCATGCACTCATACACAGTCACACAGTCATTCACTCATCCATGTATGTGTGTGCGCGTGCACACACACATACATTGATGATAAACAAAGTTTAAACCAACAGATTGAGGAAACCTGATTCATTTACTTTAGTTTAGTGGACACAGTCACCAAAAACATAGAAGTCTAAAAGCAGCCCTAATGGATACTCCCAAGAAATAACAGACTTGGGCTGTGTAAGAGATGGGCACTAATTAAAGGAGATGTCATGGGGAGGGCGGTGGCCCAAACGACCGATCCCCTCCCACATGGCACAGACACAACCCTCTGGAGTCCATTCTTGCTTTTTCATTCTCTCTCTCTTTCTCTCTCTCTCTCTCTCTCTCTCTCTCTCTCTCTCTCTCTCTCTCTCTCTCTCTCTCTCTCTCTCTCTCACATCAACCTTCAGTTTTCCAACTGAAAGACAACGCTCTCCTTATGGAACTGACATAAAGAATCGCAGGAGCTAGGGTACAGATGAGGAAACAATTTCACAGAAGAAGCCATCCCCTTCGGCAGGCCACAGACACCCAGCAGCAGGGGAAGAGTAAATACTGAAGTTGAGAACACGCTGGCTGCGGGTGGAAAACCAGTCCCTAAAACCGAATCGCAGCTGGGTGCAGCGGCACACATCTGTAATCCCAGCACCGGGGAGGATGAGGCAGGAGAATCTTGAGTTGGGAGGCCAGTCTGAGCTACACAGTGAGATTCTTCCTTCAAAAGCAAACAGTCGGGGCTAGAGCACGGGTAAGAATGCTTGGTGCACTGGCATGAGGACCCGAGTTCAGATCCCAGCACGCACCTGAAAAGAAGCCAGGTGTGGCTGCACGTAGCTGTAACTTAGTGCTACGGAAGCCACAAACAGGGTGGTTTCCGGCTTGCTGGCTGCTGGAATAATGCATAAAGTGATCCAGCAGGACACCCGATGTCTGCCTGAGCTCCTCATGCACTCACAGGCATGCATAGCTGCACATCGGATGTGGGATTCCCCTCTGGATGCTGTGAATGTGCTTTGTTACCATTGGTTAATAAAGAAGCTGCTCTGGGTCTGTGGCAGGGCAGAACAGAGCAAGGTGGGAATTCCAAGCAGAGATAGAGGAGAAAAGAAGGAAGAGTCATGCCCGGCCATGGTGGTGCTCACCTTTAATCCCAGCACTCGGGAGGCAGAGACAGGCAGATCTCTGTGAGTTCGAGGCCAGCCTGGTCTACAAGAGCTAGTTCCAGGACAGGCTCCAAAGCTACAGAGAAACCCTGTCTTGAAAAACCTAAAAACAAAAAAAAAGAGGGCAGAGTCAGGGAGAAGCCATGAAGCTGCGGAAGGAGAAAGATACCAGCCACCAGCCAGGACCACAGACTTGTGGTGATACACAGAATAATAGAAAGGGGTTATTTTAAGCTATAAGAGCTAGTTAATAAGAAGTCTAAGTTATCGGCCACACAATGTTGTAATTAATATAGTTTCTGTGTGATTATTAGGGTCTGAGCAGCCAGGAAATGAACACGCAGTCTCCGCCAACACAGAAGATATACACGCATGCACAAACAGGGCTGGGGAAGCAGGTAGCAGAGTGCTTGCTAACTGTGAAAGGCCCTGCTTAGGTGGGCGAGACCAACAAGTCAAGCTGCTTTGCCTTGCATGCTGTGGGGATATCAGATGGGAAGGGTCCGTTATCTTTTAAGATTTATTTATGTATATCTGCATGTATGCCTTTATGGTGGAAGAGGGCATCAGATCCCACTAGAGACGGTTGTGAGCCCCCATGGGGTTGGTTGCTGGGAACTGAACTCAGGATCTCTGGAAGAGCAGTGAGCCAGTTCTTCAACCTCAGAAGGGTCTTTTCTACACAAGTCTCCCTATGCCCTTGGGGAAACTTGATGGCAACTGTGAGCAGTCTGAAAAACTAGAAACTGAACTGGGGCTGGGGTTAGGCTGGCATACTCAAAGCTCTGGGTTTGATCCCCAGTATCGCATAAACTGGGCACGGTGCTACGTTTTGCCATCCTAGCACCTGAGAGGCAGAGGTGGAGGTTCAGAAATTCAGGACCATCCCGTCTACTTAGTGTGTTCCTTGACCATGTATGTCTCAAAAACAAAATAAACAGGGGCTGGAGAGATGGCTCAGTGATCAAGGATCATATTTCTCTTTCAAAGGATTTGAGTTCAATTCCTAGCACCCACACTGTAAGGTGGCTCACAACTGCCTGTAACTCTAGCTTCAGGAGATCCAGTGCCTCTGGCTTCCAAGGTAACCTGCACTCATGGCACATATACACACACAGACAGACAGACAGATGCACTCGCATGTGCGCGCGCGCGCGCACACACACACAATCATAATTAATAGTAACTAGGGAACTATCTTCATAGCAACACCCTGTTTCAAAAAAAAAAAAAAAAGAAAGAAAGAAAAATGCAAACCAAATCAAAGACTTGGGGTTGGCAAAGGGGATGGATTGTTGGCTCACTGGCTAGACACTCTAGCTGGAGTTTATCTAGCTAGAGTTTAGTAGAGATCCTGTCTCAGATGATGAGGAGAATTGAGGAAGATACATCAAGCTTGGGATGGCTCCCTTTTGAGGTGAGCTGGTTCAGGCTGCCTAGTCCATTGGAAACACTAAGACTTGAGATAGTGGTGCCTCTTAGGGCTAGGGGCTCCACAGAGGGATCTCTGCCCCTTCAAATGTTCTAGCTGAGATCAGTGCGGTCAGCTGGGGCCATTAGTTTTGTCCTTCAAGACCAAATTCAAAACACACCGCCATCTAGTGGTCAAAAACAACTACCAGAAGGCTTGGAGAGAAGAAGCCCTGGGGCCCTAAGGGACCACAAAGGCCTAAGACTTGGTTGGTAGGCAGCTGATGCCATGATCAAGTGGAGCTCAAGCTAGCCTCAGACTCTCTGTGTATCTGAGGATGGCTTGTGCTCCCGACACCTTGCCTTCACTGCCCAGCACCTCCACTCAGAGTGATAAGGAGCCTCAGTTCTGGCTACCCAGTTCCCTGGAGTAAAGGCCTGTGAACAAACAGGTGAAGAAACTTCCCCTGGGAGAGATCATCTAACTAGCCCAAGGTCATGGCTGGCCAAGGGCAGAGCTAATCCATCCAGGTTAAGCAGCATTGACAGCCAGTAAATGCCAGAGGATTCACACTCAGTTCCCTTTACCCACCTTAGGGATCTCACGACTGCCTGTAACTCAAAAGATCTGTCCTCTTCTGGTGACTTCAGGTATCTGCACACACATGGCATACACTCAAAGATACATGCATACTCAAATAATAAACTAAATCTCAAGGTTGGGCATGGTGGTGCAGGCCATTAATCCAATCACTTGGGAGGCAGAGGCAGGAGGTTCTCCGAGTTCCAGGACAGCCGGGGCTAACATAGTAATGGCCGACCTCACAAAAACAAGTGAACAAACATGTAGTAACCCTGCCCATGCGCAGAAGGCCATTTGATTTTCTTCTGGCTTGGAAAAATAGGATTCTGGTCAATGTTGTGAGGCGTGGCTTCCTCTTTCCAGCTTCCCCACCTGGGCCTGGGTCATGAGGCAATGACTTTGTCCAGATCAATTTTCCCCATGGTCTGAAATCTGTCTTGTACGTGTTCAAGGACATCCAGTGTATCCTGCATGGTCTTGGGGTCCATCTTAGCATCTCTCTGGATCCCTGCTTCGCAGCAATGTAGCACCTCAAACACTTTTTCCCCCGTAAAGCTATACAAACCAACACTGCCTTGCTTTGTCGAGCAGCTCTGTAAAGGGGACCAGTTTGCCATGCCTCTCTCCATGATCCATGAAATACGTAAAAGCTAGTAAGCAGTGGGTGCTTGCTGGAAGATCCCTACTCCAAACAGTTCACATTCATTGCTTCGTTATCACTATAACCACCACAATCATTTGCCAAAGGTGCTGTTCTCCCCCAGGCCTTGAGCACTGAGAGGTTAAACAGACCAGCCGGGAGGTGCTGGAGCCAAAACCTACTAGGGCAACCTTTCTTCAATGGCACTTCTCACTGGACGGGTTTTCAAATATGGAGTCTACATAGTGAGCAGAAATCACGGATCTGGCCCCATGATATTCCCATTACAGAGAGGCCCAGAGAGGGCAGTGGGCCGCTCAAGATCACACACCAGAAAATGGACATGTGATGGGCACCTGACCTCCAGGGGGAGGTTCTAGAAATATAGGCAAACACGACAGCAGCTTGTAGGTGAGCAAGCAGTACCAAAGCACACAACAGACGCTCTTCAACAAATGCAGCTTGACTTTATTGCAAGGAATCTGGCAGGAAGCCGGCCGGGGAGGGCCTGTCTGGGCAGGAACTCCATGGCTGAGCTGGACTGAGCAGTTGGTGTTCCAAATCTGCTTGGAGACCGGATCAACAGCCTAGAAGAGAGGGAAAAGTAGACGGATCAATGGCGCCACCTACTGCAGATAGCAGACATTGCACCTCAGTCTCTGGATTCCTCTCTGTACTGCCCACAGTGACTGGTGCACGTGCAGCTGTGCAGGTGAAACTTTGAATGCTACAAAGTAACCAGGTGTGCTGAGTCTGGGTGAGCTGCAGGAGAGGACTCCTTCTATACAGTGCTTCCAAGTTTGACACTTTCCACCTGAAAAAGTCAGAGAGGTTCGGTGGCAGACTTCTGTAACACCAACACTGAAGGTAAAAGCAAGACGATAAGGAGTTCAAGGCCAGCCTGGGTTACACAACAAACAACAAAAATAGGCTCGGTGCTGGTGATGCATTATCCTGTAATTCCAGCCTGGGGAGGCGAAGACAGGACGATCAGAAATTCAGCATCATTTTCACTAAATCTTGGGTTCAGGGCTAGCCAAGGCTACCCTATTTCAAATGAGCAGGCAAGCAAATAAACACACTGTATGATTGATTCCCTTTGTAGGTCGGGCGGTGGTGGCACAAGCCTTTAATCCCAGTACTTGGGAGTCAGAGAAGTAGATCTCAGGGAGTTCAAGGTCAGCCTGGTCTACAAAGCAAGTTCCAGGATAGCCAGGACTGTTACACAGAGGAACCCTGTCTTGAAAGACAAACAAAAGGCAGCCCGATAGCCCAGAGTGGCAAGAAGCAGACTGGTATCGAAAGAGGAAGTAGTGAGGGTGGCGGACGTGAGGGATTTTTCTCAGAGAATGAAATGCTCTGAAGTAGGGTACCGGTGTGGCTGTGCACACGGTGAATGCACAAAGCGCAATGACTGGCGCCCATGACCACAGCTAACTACATCAACTTCATTTTCACCTTGATAGCAAAAGCCTCAAGGAACAAGGCTTGCTGTCAGCAGGGGCTACTGCGTTTACAAGAGTCTCTGTATGGAGACCAAACTGTGGGCCGGCACGGGCCACTCTTCCCTCCAGTTCTTCCCCACAGAGCTCATACTTATCAAACATATTTTTTTCAAAACTAAACAGAATATTTTTATTAGCTATGGTGTGGGTGTCATCATATGTTTGTGGAGGTCTGGGGATGAGCTGCTGTCTCCTTCCACCTTGATGTGGGTTCTGGGGCTCAGACTCCGGTCTCCAGGCTTGCACACACCTGTACCCACCGAGCCATCTTCCTGGCCCTCAAATACAATCTTACATGGAGGAGCTGGGCATGGGGGCTCACACCAGTAATCACAGCGTCAGAGGGGCTAGGGGAGAAGGTTCGCTGCGAACTCCAGATGACTTGGGCTATACAAGGAGGCCCTGATTAAAAAAATGATTTCTAAAAAAATAAAACAAACTGAATCCAAACAGAAAAATTGTACATGGATGCCCAAAGCACAACAGGAGTGTTTGAAAGAGATGGAGGTCAGTGGCCCACTCTCACCTGACCCACAAAACCCAAGGATGTACAGTTCCCAAGCATGGCAGAGACTGCTGGTGTCATCCCTGAGGGGAAGAACCTTAAAGAGACTGCAGAGACCCAAAAAGGCAGTGGGACAGAGTGGAGGGGTTCAAATCTCAGGCAAGTGAAAAATGGCCCAGTCACACACAGTCTGGAATGAGAACAGAGCTGGCATTGGAACCCCAGACTCCTTGCTGTTAACACTGTCTTATTCCTGGCCATGGAGCAAATCCAGGGCCAGAAGAGATATGGGGAACAATGGCTCTTATTTATTTATGTTAGGCTCCAAAGCGTGTGTGTGTGTGTGTGTGTGTGTGTGTGAGAGAGAGAGAGAGAGAGAGAGAGAGAGAGAGAGAGAGAGAGAGAGAGAGAGAGAGAGAGAGAGTAATGTGCCATGTCTGATTGTTAGACAACCTGTGGGACTCAGTTCTCTCCACCACGTAGGTCCTGGAGATTGAATTCAGGTTGTCAGGCTTGGCAGTAGGCACCTTCACCTGTTGAACATCTTTTTGGCCTTGTTATTATTATTTTATTATTTTGAGACAGTGTGTCTCTGTGTAACCTTAATTACACAGAGCCTTGTTGCTACTCCTCTCCTGCCTTAGCCTCTTGTGAGCTGGCTCATCCACGTCTTCTAATTTGCCAGGATGTCACCATATACACAAAACACACGGCTTGGGTTCCAAACGCTCAAATTGGGAACCCTCCTACCCCCAGTTGATTACAGCCGGCCTCTGCCAGGGGCTCCCATGGGTCACTTGTAGGGTCAGCAATACAGTTACCATCATGACAACACTCACACAGGAGTCTGGCTCATTCCTGCCTCTGCCACCCATCTGCCTGGGCTCTGGCCAGCTCATGTTCCTTCACCAGGCCTCGTTGTTCTCAGTTCCAGAGACGATACAAACCACCAAAGAAGTGACCATTGTGATTCATGGGTCAGATGCAGTGCAGAGGAAGTGAGACTGCAGGGCACGGTGGGAAGGACTGCTGGGCGGCCAGGTGAGGGAAGGGCACTGGCACTGGGCCACTTTCTGCCCCCCGGGACCCATAAAGTGAAGATAGCTTATATGGGTCATTGACTTTACCAGGCTGGGTTAGAGGCACAGCCAGCTCCGGGGCATGAAACTCTGTAGAAGTGTGCGAGGCACAGGACATAGGCATCAACTGTGAAGGGACAGTCACTTTACCAAAGCAAGAGGCTCGCCATTCCAAGAAGGCCAGAGCCTCTAAACTTAGACCCTGCTGACCAGGCAAGGTGCCCCTCAAGTCCCAAAAGGGACTTTGGGGATATAATATGGCATTCTGTCTATTCCCTAGTGGCCATCAATACTTTTGAGTTTCTGGTTTGTACTGAAAAATGATGTTCTTGTGACCCTTCAAGAGGGGGGCAATGGGCTGAACACATCAGGGCCCCCTCCTACCTCATTTAAGAAGTCCAAGTTCATGCCGGGCGGTGGTGGCGCACACCTTTAATCCCAGCAGTCAGGGGGCAGCGGCAAGTGAATCTGTGAGTTGAGGCCAGCCTGGTCTACAAGAGCTAGCTCCAGGACAGGCTCCAAAACTACAGAGAAACCCTGTCTCGGGGGTGGGGGTGGGGGTGGGGTCCAAGTTCAGGCTGAGCACCTTAAATCCAGGAACCTCAGTTGCAGTATGCTTCAAAATAAGAACTTCCTGAGTGCCAGCTCATGTTAAAAATGTTTAGGATTTTCTAGTACGGGTGAGTTTAGCAAAGATTCCAAACCCCAGAGAAATTGCATTCTGAACTGCTTCTGGGCCCAAGCATTTCAGATGAGGGATTTGGAACCCAGGGGACCCCTGGAGAGGCAACAAGTCTGTGCAGGAAAGGCTGGGGCCTCACCCACCTACCTCTTCAGTACATCCAGAGGGACTCGCCCAAGGTTCTGGCTACTTGGGGCCAAGGTAGGAAACGGCCTTTCCTGTTTTGTTGAGAGTTGCCAGCAGGGTGTCGGTGCTGTGCTCAGACTCAATGCAAACCTTTTTGTTGGGCAAGTCAATGTTGAACTCCACTCCTGCAGGAAGAAGGAAACGGGGATGTGGGAGGGGGAAGCAGGACCCTTCCACCCTAAGAACAAAAGAGGTCAGCCTCCTTAATCATCCCTGTAGCGCCAGGCACCTCTCCTGGAGCCAGGGAGCAGCAAGCTCTTTCTGTCTCAAGCACTGTGAGCACGGCAGGCTTTGCTGCAGGCCCCTCTCTGTGTCTGAGGGGTGTTGGCAATGCAGACTGAACTCAGGACCTCAAGGATCAGGCAAGTACTCCACTTCTAAGCTATTTCCTCAGCCCTCAGAGTTTTCTCTTTCCACCCAGCTCCCTTCCCCCCAAACCTGCCATCACTACTACCTCAAGCTAACCTTCCAATTTAGCAATACAGAGCCCTTCTCCCTCCCTTTATAATTTTATTTGAAATATTTTTATATTATGTATGAGTATGGCTCTGTATGTAGGCATGATCATATGAGTGCAGGTGCCCCTGAAGGCCAGAGGTTATGAGGTCTGGAGAGGTGGGCGCTAGGTCCTCTGCAAGCGACATACATGCTTTTAACCATGGAGTCACTTCTCCAGCCCCAGATTTACTTATTTTTATGTATATGAGTGTTTTCCTTGCATGTATATCTGTGTACCACATGTGTGCAGTACCCATGGAGGCCAGAAGAGGACGCTAGATCCCCTGGAACTGGAGCTACAGATGGTTGTGAGCCACCATATGGTGCTGAGAGCTGAATCCAGATTCTCTGTAAGAGCAACCAGTGCCCTCAACTATTTCTCCAGCCCCTTCCTTTCAAATTATTACACTTTAGTGAAAGCATGCGTGAGTCTGTATTAAGTACGTGAGAGAATCTGTATGTGAGCATGTGTGTGAGAACGCATAAGTGAGAGTATGTATGAGTGCATGTGAGGTGAACGAGCATGTTTTGAGTGTGCGCATGTGTGTGGGTATGTATATACATGAGAAAAAATGTGTGTGTAAGGTTAGAAGACAACTTGGAATCAGCTCTCTCCTCCTATGTGGGTCCTGGAAAATCCTTGGCAGCAAGCACCCTTACCCACTGTCATCTAGTGCTTGTACAACCCCCCTTCTGTGTGTCTCACGTGCATAAGCTACCACTGAAGACCCCACCTCCCCCACAACCATCTTCCCCCGTTTCTGTGCTACTGGTACCCAGGGTATCTATCACACATGCCAAGCAAGCACTCTATTCCCGAGTTTCATCCCCAGGCCTTTTTTATACATTTTATTTTGAGGCAATCTCACTAAGTTGCCTGGGGCAGCTTTGAACTCACTCTACAGACTAGAGACCCGAGCTCATGATTTTCCTGTTGCAGCTTCCCAGTGTGGTGTCTCCACATCTGCTCGCTGACTCAACCCTTCCAAGCACGGGGAATCAGTTCTGCCCGCCTGAGATACCGTTCTCATCCTACTGCCAGTGCACCCAAGCCTGGCCACACCTACGAAATCCTTCCACACCATGAATTAGAGCAGAACCGTGGGCCAACAGCCTGGCCCATGTGGGGTGTTAACGGCCGTTGCCCAACTGCCTTCCTACTGCCCAATCCCTACTTCCACCAAAAAAGAGAAGCCACGATGCCCTCCTCTAAAATGGTGTGCCAATGAAAAGGATGAGAAGGCCTGGGTGGCTGAGGTCAGGACCATTTCAGGCCTTGGCTTTCCCACCTGTCACAAAGGGGTTGGGGTCAGCCTCAACGCTCTTTCCTGCCTAAGTCAGTCTTTAGTCTGACTACCCAGGCCCTAAGAACTTAAAAACACCTGACTGTCCTCAAGGGGAGGCGTGCCTTATTCAAAGTTTGTATTGCTGTGCTGAAACACCAAGGTCAAAAATAATTTGGGGAGGAAAGGCTTTATTTTGCATACAATGGAAAATTGTGGACAGGGCAGGGCAGGAACCTGGAGGCAGGAACTGAAGCAGAGGCCATGGAGGAATCTGCTCACTGGCTTGCTTTGCTCCCCAAGAGCTAGGCCCTCCCACACCAATCAATCAAGAAAACACACCACAGGCTTGCCCATAGGTCAATCCGGTAGGGGTATTTTATCAACTAAGATTCCCTCTGCCCAAATGACTGTCGCTTGTGTCAAGTTAACATAAACTAGCCCGCACAAGGAGAAATTAATCAAAGGTAAAGGTCCCTCAGGCCCAGCAGGGCTGTTAAGCACGTGGTGCAGGGCATGGTTGCAATCTCTGAATCTACAAATAACAAAAAGTTAGACAGTTGTTAGCTGCCAAGAGGGTGCTGGGAATTAAACCCTGGTCCTCTGGAAGAGCAGTCAGTGCTCTTACCCACTGCGCCATCTCCCCAGCAGACCCTACTTCATTTCTGAAGTGTCTCTGGCATAGGCTGATTTGGGCTGACACTCTCAGATCATAGCTGGTGATGCCCAAACCCAGGGGAGGGAAGCCTATGGCCTTGTGGGAAGTCAGAAGCCAGAGGCTCTTCAGTGTCTCAGATTCTTGTGAATAGACATCTCAGTGCAACTGGGCGTGGCTCATGCCTGTAAGCCCAGAACTCGTGACACTGAGGCAGGAGGACTGTTAAAATTTGAGGCCTAACCTGGGCTACCCATGGTGAGTTCCAGGCCAGCCAGGACTACAACAGGAGACCCTGTCTTTAAAACAACAACAACAACAACAAAAACCCAAAAAACAAAACTTAAAAAGATATTCCATCTTACAAACCTCAGAGTTACTGAATCACGGGCTTACTCACTATGGGACCTGGGCAAGGACTTCCCCTTGGGCACGAGTGTTACCAGCCACCAGCCTGATCCACCGTGTCAAGTCCCACTCTGTGGACTGATAATGCTTAGGCAGTCTCCACACTCTGTAGTACTGTTACCCTAGGTCTTATTTATTTCTGATTTGTAGAGATAGGGTCTCCCTCCATAGTTCAGGCTGGCCTCAAATCTCCGGCAATGCCTACAGCATCTCGGCCTCCCAAGGGCTGGGATTATCGGTGTGAGCTGCCACACCCAGCTTTGTTTGGCTTTTATAAACTCATTGTTTTTATTTTATTGCAGCACAGTGGATTTGATCTAAAATGTCACACAGGCTGTGCAATCCCTTTATTTCTGAGCTGCACCCCCAGCCTCTTCTGTCATTTTTACTTTGAGTCAAGTCTCCCTAAATTGTCCAGGCTGGGCCTTAAGCTTTTGAACCTCCGGGCTTCTGGGTTTACTGGCAGCCTTCAGGCCTGGCTGTTGTCATCTGTATTTGATGTCACCCTGGAGATCACTATCATAGTAACCACTCCAGGGCTGGACAGTGTGGCTAAATCCCAGCTCTGCCCTACTGGCTCTGTGAATCCAGTCAAGTCCTTGAACTCTAAACAGTTCCTGCCTTCACACGAGGAGGACAGTCACTGTGCTTCGGTGGTGTGTGCCTGCAGCTCAAGCAGAAGCTGGATGATAAGAGTCCATGATCACCATCCTGGGCTCCAGAGACCCTGAAGAGGGAGGGGGAAGGGAGGAGGGGGGAGAGGAGACAGAATGAACAACAAAATGGAGTTGGATATATGGCGGCCCATCTTTGTAATTCCAGCATTTAGAAGGCAGAGGCAGAAGGATTCTCACACATTTAGGAGCAGCCTAGTCTATATGGTGCATTTCAGGGCAGCCAGGGCTACTCAGCAAGGCTTTGTCTCAAAAACAAGACTAAACTGAGGGGGTAGGAGCGTAGCGAATGGAAGAAACGGTGGCTGCAGTGAGGCACAACACGTCTCCACACAAGCCACCGAGCAGAGGCCCAAGTGTGCACCAGCTGACCTGCAGCTGACCCCCGCAGGCCGCATGTACCTGAACATGACTCGCCACACTCTCTCCAGGAGAGCCACTCACCTCCCAGCTTGTTGAGGACTCGGGAGACTGCTTCGGCGCATCCCTCACAGGTCATGTCCACGGAGAACTCGTGCTTCTGCAAGAAACGGAGATCATGAGTCAGGCCATGCAGGGACCCACACACCGTCTGAGGGGCCTCTCAGGGGCTGACAGGGAGCAGAGAGTGAGCACAATCCCACTGGAAGCCTGTCTATGAGCCCAGTCTAGTAAATGGATGGGGAGGAGGCACAGGATTTCTGTGTGTCACAGGCTGTACCAACAGAGACAATCTCCATGATGTCTTCTGCAAGGTCTGGCACAGGATAACAAGATCCAGGTCCGTGTGAGCTCTTTTCCAATCCTCCCTCTCAAGGTTACTGCCTCACGAGTGAGCTGTGGGCTTTGCCTCAGGGCCAAGGACTTAGCCACAGGTGACCCCACTCCCAGAAGTACTAATCTGGGACCTGTTTCTGAATCAGAACATTATTTTCTACACTGGGACTCTACACAGGCTGCAGGTCTGCCCAGCAGCCAGGATGGGGACATCGATTATGCCAGCAGGTAGGTTACTCAGGTGTGTGGCACCACTGCTCTGACCTGAGTACCCCGTGCTCAGGGGCAGCACCTGAGTTCCAGGAAGGGGAAGGATTCCCCAGGCTCCCCAGCACAATGGAGGCAGCCGGGAAGGGATCCCAGGTTTCCGAGGCTCTACAATCTCCAAGATGTCTAAGAAGTCAAGGCAGGTGAGCGTCCACACAACTGTGCGGCTCAAGCACAAATAGTCGCTGTTGTGCCCAACACTGGGAACAGCACCTGGCACAGAGGTCCCTCACTTATTTCATGAGTGAATCAATGATCAACATCACTGCTGGACAACTTCTGGGTCTTGGCTGTTTTCTGTGGACTGGGCCAATATTCCTTCCTTCACAATATTTGGGAATGAGAGCATCTGCGCTCCAGCGCTTGCAAGTTGTATGACCTCAGTAGCTTAACTCTTGGGGTACTAGTCCCTTCTGGATGAAGAACGGGACAATCAGAGGATTTGACATGTGGCAGCCAGCCTCCACCATGACCTCTATCTTCTCTGCCTCCTGGTATTTAAGTCCTTGACAGTTCATTCCCTAACATCGTAGCCTAAGCCTGAGCGTATTCAACATAAGGGTCAAAGCACCATTATGTGACTAAGCTGGTCACAATGCCGGCTTCTGCCCTGCTCCCTTCTCGGATCACTCCAGAGCCAGCCAGCTGCCACGTTAAAGGACACTTTACTATTCATCCAGAGGTCCACCTGGCGAGAAGCAGAGTCAAAGCCAAGGAGTGCACCAGCCTGGGCAAGCCTCTGGCCTGGCGTTCCTGGAGACCCCAAGCCAAGCCTAGTCACTGTCCAGACACTCTCGGGTCCTGACTCTAGGTTTGGGGATAAACATTAAAGGACAATAGATAGCTGATATGTTAATAAAATGAGATCATGGGACTAAGTGCCTCTAGGCGAAAGTAATTGGATTCTGATAATTATTTTCTTCCATTTCTCTTTTCCTTTGGAAATACAACACGTAGGCCCTGGGAATGTAATGCAGTGGTACATCGCTGGCCTGGCATGTGCAAGGCCCTGGGTTTACTGCCCAGTACTGAGACAGCCAAGCATAGGGAATGGTTTAGGCTATACACACCTGTCTTTGACAATGAACCTAGCCACCTGTTAACAACCCAAGACTGACCTCCACACTTGTTTTAAGCTTGGAAATAAGAAGTTACTCCTCTCATCAATCCCTGATTTCTCCATTTCCATCCAAACATCCTGAAGCACGATTTGGGAACTGCTGGCAATGGGCTGACCAGGGTTAGACAGTTCTGGAGCGCATGCACAATAAGGCCAACTGCCCTCAAAGTGCAATTGTGGAGAGAATTCCGTACTTACAACTTATGCCTATGCATAATTGGGTATGCACATAATTAAAATCAGGTGCATCAGCTGGGTGCTGGTGGCACACATGGATCCAAGTTCAAGGTTAGTCTGGTCTATAGAACAAGTTACAGAACAGCCAGGGCTATAGAGAAGCCCTGTCTTGAAAAATCCAAGTCAGTCAGTAGAGAAAAGTGACCAGATTATAGCCCTAGCAAACAAGCTCCTCCTTCCCTTGAACCCCATAAAGGGAAGCCCCAACAATAAGTAGGGCCCTTGATACCTGCTCTGCTGCAGTATATTCTGACCTGTCTTGTGCACTGTTTTGACTAGTTTCCTTGCTACTTTGTAATCTATGTGTATCTTTACTATTTGTTGAGTAAGATGCTAAGAGCATTGAAACAGCCAGCCCAGACCTCAACCCTGAGTAATAGCACTGCAAACATTAACAAAACAAAGGCTATCCCTCCCCGCTTCTGTATTTTGTTTTGTTTGGGGGGGGGGGGGGTTGGTGTTGCTTTGAGAACAGGGTCCATTAATGTAGACAATACTAGCCCAAAACTCACTATGAAGTCTACACTGGGCCTTAAACTATCTTCCTGCCTCAGAATCCCAGGTGACCAAAAGCATACCCAAATTCCCCACGAATACGAATTTCAGCAAAGTATCTTTAGGACAGGCTGAGCATCTCTTATCTGAGTGCTTGGGAGCAGAAATGTCCCTAGTTAAGGGATATTTGCATAGGCATAATGAGGTATCCTGGGAATGGGATGAGTCTAAACATGAATCATATTTATACACAGACTGAAGGTAATTTCATGCAATGTTTTCAATGCACCCCGTTTGGGCACACACCACTTGGGGCATCAGGTTCTGGCTGGGCTGAAACTCCCTATGTAGACCAGGCTGGCCATAAACTCAAAGAGCTGGTCTGCCTCCCAAGTTCTGGCATTAAAGGTGTCTGCCACCACCACCTGGCTGAAAACAGATAACTTTTAAAATAATAGTAAGAATAGGGCTAGAGAGACGGCTCAGTGGTTCCGACTACTTGTGCTCTTCCAGAAGTCCCGAGTTTGGCTCCCCAAACCATGTCAGATAGCCCACAACCACCCGTAACTCCAACTCTAGGGAGTCTGAAGCCCTCCACTGATCTCTGCACACAAATGGCACACACAAAAATCTGAACGATAATAACTATGCTATGCTTATTCGCATGTGGGAGTGTGTGCTATGGAATAAGAGTGGATGCCAGAGGTCATCAGGCTTGGCAGCAAGCATCCTTACCAGCTGACACATCCCACAACCCTCAAACCCCCTTCCTACAGGATAGGAGAATCATTCATTTCCTCTTGCTCCAGAGCTCACTAAGGTGATGAGGTCATGGGTACAAAGGCACAGAGGAGAGAGGCTTTCTTTGCTCCAGGGAAATCTTGATGGTTTTAGAACTGCTGAATGCTCAACCTCCCCCCCCCCCCCACACACACACAAGCTGACTCTGAGCCGAAGCTCTATAGAGCATTTCAGAGGATAAGTTTTGTTGCCCAAGACTCTAAAGTCAACAGTTATCTGAGCTCCAAACTGAGGACCCCAACAAGGAAGTCTTTCACAGAGCAGAGGCCAGAGGCCTGGGGGCAGCTCACGGGAGGCCAGCATTTCAACTCAGAGCTCTCTCTTGGCTACAAATTGTGAAACCTAAACCTGAGGCTGACCAGAAGTCTGCCTAATGGACAGGGAGGTGATCCAATCTTCATGGAGTATATCAAGACCTGCTCCACCCCTGGATGGCTCCCCAGTGCCTCTAGACCTGTGTTTTGTCTCTAAAGGGTGGTGGCTCAGTGGCAAAGCACATACACAGCATACACAGGCCCTGAACTCAATCTCTAGCATCCCAAAATAAACTTAAAGCCAGGTGTGGGAGCTCACTTCTGTAATCCCAACACTTGAGAAGCCGAGGCAGGAGGATTGCTGTGAGTTTAAGGATCAGCTGGGCTACACATTCACTCACAGGTCAACCCGAGCTACAGTGTGAGACCCTGTAACAACAAACAAGCAAAATAAACCCTCTTAAACATAATGTATGGGGCTGGAGAGATGGCTCAGAGGTTAAGAGCATTGCCTACTCTTCCAAAGGTCCTGAGTTCAATTCCCAGCAACCACATGGTGGCTCACAACCATCTGTAATGAGGTCCGGTGCCCTCTTCTGGCCTTCAGGCATACACACAGGCAGAATATTGTATACATAATAAATAAATAAATAAATAAAAAACATAATGTATATATTCATGTCATATGGCAACATGCTGTATTATTGTTTATTATATATAGTATTGCTTCAGAGGGCCACTAAGTGATACAATTCTGTAACAGACTCTCTCTAGAACTGAAAGAGTCCCTGGGAATGGAGAAAGAGGACACTTTGTTCTTCTAGAGAACGACACTGGAGTCTGGATTTTTGACTACTAATATCTAAGTATCTCTGATGTGTTGGGTCTTCTTCTAAACACCTTGTACACTGTCTCCTTTAATAATTACTAATAATTACAATGATTCCGTAAGCCAGGGAACTACCTATTCCTCTGAGGGCCGAGAAAGCTGCAGCTCAGAGGTTAGATACCGACTCAGTGAGATGTAGCTAATGAGTAGCAGGGCCTGCCTTGGGCAGAGTACACAAAACTTTTAACCTCTGAGGTCCCCGTGGAAGCCTGCCCACACTGTTCGACCCCACTTGCCCTATATCTCCAGAAAAGTCACACACACACCCCTTGGGGGCACGATGGGTCGCTGGCTCTGTTATATATTTTGATGCTATCATTCTAGCAAATACCAACCACAGCCCTGCAAGGTCTGTTTTTAATCCCTATTTTATGGACGAAGAGATGAAGGCACACAGAGGCAGAGCTTACCTGAGGCTTCTGGGTTAAGCTTTGGTCTGCAAACCATTTTGGGCTAAGACTCATTTCCCTGCCTAGACTTGAGGCACACTTGAGCAATACCCACCTCCCTGCCTTTAGCTGTTGGTTTCGATATAAGGTGTCTACTCCACGCCTCACTCCCATCAAAATCCCCAGAGGCACAGAATAGAGGGGTCCTCAAGCTGTTTTCCTTCACTACTGTCCCCTGGAGGGCCTGGCAGACTCCACTCTGAAATCCCAGGGTCGGAATCACGCTGCAGGGCAGACTGCCTTGACTGACTGGTAGGATGGATTTTTATCAAGCCTTTTTTTTTTTTTTTTGTCTTTGTTTTGTGCCACCAGAGGAAAGATCTCAAGACAAAGGGCAAGAACCACAAGAAATGACACCTGAGGTTTAAGACTGCACCAGGAGGGAGCACAGGTTCAGTCAAGGAAGATAAGCGGCTAAAACACGCAATACCCGCGGGAGACTTCTGGGTTTAGAGGCACCGGGAAGAAAATGCTGCTGATTCCAGGGCCCTAACCATTATCTCAGAAACTCAACTGGGATCAGAGCTTTCTCCCCAAGCCAGTACAACTGGTTTTGCCCAGCACTTCCCAGGTGACCTGGCTTCATCCTGGATCCTATCTAGCTTTAGCTCCTAACAATAAATGGTTTCCAACAAACACTGGACTTTTCTTTCTCTTCTTGTGCAATGGGTCAAAGACCCTTATTTAAGTAAGCAATGAGGCTAGAAGCCACCATGCATAGGAGTAAGTCCAAAGATAAGATAAAGCGCTGCTCTCGGCTCCTCAAACTCTTCTCTGAGCTTTGGGAACTCCTGGCTGGAAATGAATAAAGCACCCTTTCGGGTTCAGTGTTGCCCAGTGCTGAAGTGGAAGCAGGCCAGAGTGGGCAGGAGAGGTGGGGAGAGACCTGCTTCTCTGAAACCCCGCCAGCTTGGCGGCAGGGGCATGCACGTGGAAAAGGTAGGGACCGGAGCCCCTATGCAGCCCTATCTCTCAGCTTCAGTTTCCCCATCGTGCAGGGAAGGTTGGGGCTGTCCCTCGAAAGACTCTCCAAAGCGATCTTGAGGCCTGTGTTCTGCAACACAGTCCTCTCTGCAGCTTTCCTGAGGGTCGAGAAGCTGGACGGTGGGTGCGGAGGGTAAACTGAGGAACGACTGCAGCTCCGGCCGCAGCCTGTGCTCTAACAGCAGTAGCATCTGGCCGGGCAGCGGTGCATCGGGCCAGAGACAACGGTTCGCGCGGGTGGAGCGGGAAGGCCACTTACCGGCATGACTGACGCGGCACCGGCAACGGCTACGACGACTGGAAACGCCTTTCCCGGGCAGCAACGCTGGGCTTCCGGAGAGCGTTCCTGGAAGCCCCACCTTTAGGCCGACCCCGCCTTCGGCTAGGCCCCGCCCTAGGGCTGGGCTCCGCTTAGTCTCCGCCCCTTCCGGGTTCAGCTGCGGCAAGACTCCGCCCTCTGAGGCTCTGCTCTGTTCTCGTCCCTTAGGGCCAAATTACAGCCGGGCCCCGCCCCCTGGGCTGGCTTCCACTTACTTCCCACCTCTTTCAAGCCTGGATATATTATTAGGCCCCGCCTCTTTGGAGCTAGGTCACGGGTCCTCGGGGATGGCAGGGTGCAGGGGAGGAATGCAGACGGAGGTAACTTTTTTTTTTTTTTAGACCTGCCCGAGGCTGTTACGGGAGACCTTAGGACGACTAGTCTTAAACTGCGCTCTCTTCTGGGTAGTTTTCGGTGGTGTGGGACTAGGGAATGCAAGGCCAAGGCTCCTGGGAAGGGCAGATCCCGGCATTCCCTAAAGATTCCATCTTCCTTGAGTGTCACTCAGTCCCTACACTGGCCTAGGGCTGCATGTCTGTTCCAGCTGCTAGAGAGGTTGAGGCAGAAGGATCCTGAGGTTCAAGGCTTGGTCTGAACTGCAGAGTTCAAGCCCTTTCGTGGAATTTATGAGACCTTATCCAGAAAAGCATACAAAAAAAAAATATACAGGGGTTGGAGAGATGGCTCAGTGGTTAAGAGCATTGCCTGCTCTTCCAAAGGTCCTGAGTTCAATTCCCAGCAACCACGTGGTGGCTCACAGCCATCTGTAATGAGGTCTGGTGCCCTCTTCTGGCCTGCAGGCATACACGCAGACAGACTATGGTATGCATAATAAATAAATAAATAAATAAATAAATAAATAAATAAATATTTTTTAATAAAATAAAATTTAAAAATATACAAATTTAAGGCACTAGGCATTTTGGTAACACTTGTAATTCCAATACTTGAAAAGCTGAGGCAGAGTTGGTGGTGGGTGACACATGCCTTCAATCCCAAAATTTAGGAAGCAGAGGCAGGTGGATCTCTGAGTTCAAATCCAGCCTGGTCTACAGAGCGAGGCAGGAGGATCCAGAGTTCAGGTTAGCTGTGGCCTTTAATCTCAGCACTCAGGAGAGAGAAATATCTCCACAGACCTGCCTATAGGCTAATTGGATGGAACCAGGTCTTCAATTACAGTCCCTTTTTCCAAGATGACTCTTGTGTCAAGTTTAAAACAAGAGGGCTGGAGAGATGGCTCAAAGGTTAAGAGCACTGGCTTCTGTTCAATTCCCAGCAAGAATATGGTGATTTACAACCATCTGTAATGAGCTCTGGTGCCCTCTTCTGGTGAGTAGGCATATATGCAGACATAACACTATATAATAAATCTTTAAAAATGTTGGCTAATAAACTATGAATTTATTAAAAAAAAAAAAAAACAAGAAACCTGTGAGAATGTAAGTGTTGTTCCTATCCATTTATGACTGCCCCAGTTAGCTGAGTTACTTCATGAGTAATCCAATACCCTTGAAGACAATACCCTTCTCAACCGTGACTACTAGGCTTATTTCCACCATTTATGTTCCTAAGAGAAGATCCATAAACTAAGTAAGCAACTTGTCATCCTGTGTATCAGGAATCATGCTATAATTTGAACACAGAAGTGAAGAGACAGCCAGGTGGTGGTGGCACATGCCTTTAATCCCAGCATAGCCAGTCCCAACCCCCATCTTGAGAAAACAAAGTTGTGAGACATTGGCTAACAGGGAACAGCCTAAGAATCTAAGCATAGCTCTCTCTCTCTCTGTGTGTGTGTGTGTGTGTGTGTGTGTGTGTGTGCCTGTAAACAACCCCTCCTCCTGCACTTGGGAGGCTGAGGCAGGGAAGCATGAATTGGAGGCCAGGCTGAGCTACCTGAAAACCTATCTTAAATAAGCTAAACTAAAATAAATGTAAGAATATAGCAGGCGAGCCAAGCGGTTATTATCATGGTATAATTTGAACACATAAGTTATGATACAGCCGGGTACTGGTGGCGCACGCCTTTAATCCCAGCACTCAAGAGGCAGAGGCAGGCGGATCTCTATGAGTTCGAGGCCAGTTTGATCTTGAGTTAGTTCCAGGCCAGAACCCAAAGCTATGGAGAAATCTTGTCTCAAAAAAAAAAAAAAAAAAACAAAACAACAACAACAACAACAACGAATATAGCAGGCTGGGCATGGTAGTGAACACCTGTAATCCTGTCACTTGAGAATTGGACACGGGGACTGCTGAAAGTTCAAGGCCAGCCTGGACTATCTAACACCACATCTCAAGCACTGATACCCCTTAACCCTGGATACAAAAAATGTGGTGGACGTAAGAAGATTCTACTGTCCAGAAAGCTAAGCTATGATGTCTAAGAAATAGGTCTGTCCCCTGCATGCTCTAAGCCTCACTGGGAAGGGCTCTGGCTGAGAAGTCTGGCTGGGAGGATACTGGGAAAACATTTGTGTCCCTCACTAATGGAATTGATACCACTCTCTGCCTCCTCTCCCCAACTCTAGAGAACAAGGACATCCCATCCACCTATCCAGAACAGAAATGACACAGAGGCTGATGCAAAAACCATAGAGCCAGCGCCAAGGCTGGATGGCCCCAGACTTAGTCTGGGAGAAGTGACTCCATTTTTATTTCACCCCCTGCTGTGAAACTTCCTGTTACTTGCCCCTGACTTACCTCACTGCTACTGTCCCCACCTGGCGGATATACAGGTGCCACCTGGCGGGACATACAGGTACTTCTGGTCTCAGGGCAGATAGTGTGGCAATGGCACCACGTATATTGCCCTAAAATTCCATGTAGAATAAATTTGTGTGTGAGGAATTGTCTGTCATTTGAAGTTTTGATTTTTTTGTTTGTTTCTCTGTAATAGCCCTCGGTGAGCCTCTTGCTTTTTTTTTTTTTTTTTTTGGTTTTTGGAGACAGGGTTTCTCTGTGGCTTTGGAGCCTGTCCTGGAACTAGCTCTGTAGACCAGGCTGGTCTCGAACTCACAGAGATCCGCCTGCCTCTGCCTCCCAAGTGCTGGGATAAAGGCATACGCCACCACCACCCGGCTGAGCCTCTTGCTTTGGTAAAGTGACTGTCCCTTCACAGGTGGTGCCTGTGTCCAGCGCCTCGCATGCTTCTACAGAGTTTCATGCCTTGGAGCTGGCTGCGCCTCTAGCCCAGCCTGGTGCAGAGTTTTGATAGATTCATCCAGATTGCCTTTCAAAAAAGGGGGGAAGGGTTTTATTTATTTGTTTGTTTATTTATTTATTCAAGACTTGGTTTCACTAAGTAGCTAGGCTGACCTCAAATCCTGAGATCTGTTGACCTCTGCTGGGATTAAAGGCACATGGTTTTTTTTTTTTTTTTTTTTTTTTTTGGTTTTT